GGGCGCGGGCGCGGGGGTGCCTGGGGAGGCAGCCGAGAGGGGCTCTGGCCTGGGAAAGGTCCGGGCGGGGGCGGCGGGGGCTGAGCTGGTTGGGCCGAGTGTCCGAGCGTCTGTTCCCATGTGTGACTGGTGCTATTGGTATCTATCTTCATTTTTTACATTTACCAGTAGCTGCCTCATTTCCTACCCTAGGCTTATACTCGAGTCAATATTTTTTCCCAGTTCTTTGTGGTAAAATTAGGTGCCTCGGCTTATATTCGGGTCGGCTTATACTCGAGTATATACGGTAATTGTAATTTGAGATTGTAATACAGTCTCCGTAGATACACAATGAAAAAGTTTTGCTCCTGTAGCTCAACACATATATGTATAATGAAATTTCTATATATTTGTATACTCTTTGCTCACTATTGTCTTGATAATATACTATCTTTGTAGGATTTAATTAAAATGACATCCAAACATGCAATGATGTTAGCCATGTAGCTCAAAGTTCCCTTCATATTAATGTGGAACTGCTATATTAGGTGGAAAAAAAGAGGAATAATAAAAGCAGTGACTCTACAAATTCAGTAGCCTTTTTTGGTAGAAAAATTCTTTGAGTGCGTTGTTTACTGTTGTTAGGTACTTCATTACTCCTGCTTTATATTCCTTTTTAGTGAGCAGTCACCCAAGTTACTAACAACAGATTATAACCAAGGAATTATCAGTTAATTACTAAAATGTGGTTCTGTTCTAAACAGTGAGTATATATATATATATATGGCATGGGGTTAACCAATATGTCCCTAAATTATTCCAAATAAAATTGGGCCAGTTTATAAGTAAAAACCTATGTTTGTTTTGTTTTTGTTTTCCTCACTGCTAACACTGCAAATTCATCCCGGTAGCAGATATTAAAGATGAGTTGCACAAACAGCATAGCTGGCTCTCTATTACCTGGCATGGGAGGTATGCCAAGGATGGAGTGCAGACAGAGTATTTCTACGCCTTGGCTGCTGGAGTGGCCTGTAGGGACTGTTAGATCTGAGGTGCAGGTTTAAGTGACCTCTGAGGCTGCTCTCATGTGTGCTGGCAGGCCCATGCTCAGGGAGGTGCATTATTTCCCTTATTGGTTCCTATAGCTAGCTCATCACCAATGAAGGGGTGAATCAGGCTTTTAGTTGATCTTTAACAATTTGACATTTTAACCAATCTTAACAAAATAGAAAATGCTGAGGATGGCAAACTTCAGCATGGAGCACTTTAAAATAGCCAATATGTTTAGAGATTAATGCTATTTGTAATATAGATTTGCTTTGTAAATAATCCTAAATTTTTTGCATTGCTGGGTTGACAGGTCCCTGATAATGTTGTTTTAAATGATGTCTTTCTTATTGCTAAAAGAGATGCCCACATTTAGATGACTGTCACACTCTTTGCACCATTAAAAGTTAACATTTGTCCACTGTAGCTGTTACCCCAACCTTGCAAGTAGATCTACACAGGTAACCCCTAGGTCCATGCACCACCCCATTGTATTTGGTGGGGTTTCATGAGAGCATTTCAGTATGTGCTTACATTCTTTCCTGAATAGAGAAGGATTTAAGCACATTGTTAGGAGTTTTCCTGCATGAGCCGGAAAGAGGCAATTTCCTTGCATTACTGTTATCCAGAAATGAATTTCAGTGAAATAGCATACAAATGCTTAAGTACATCTGGTTTTTCAACAATAAAACTATTTTATAAGTTCCTTTGATTTAAAATGAACTGCCTTTCATTTTCTCCTGCATTCAGTGGAATTTGTCACCTCAGCTTTCAGGTGAAAAATTTGTAGGTGGGATAAACAATTGAAATTATGTCAGACTAAATCCATGCATGTTTTATTGTCAAAAACCATAACATCAGACTTACTAGATGACAGTAATCAAAGCCAAGTGGGTGGCTCTGTGAAATGGCTTTCTTCTTGATGGTATGGGTTAATACCGAAGCCTAGGGTAAATATAGAACTTATCAAACAAACTCTGCCTGAGAATTATGATGTCTGTATTGGTGAAATAGGCCAGAAGTAGGATGAGGCAGCAGACAGGGCACAAAACCCAGCATTAAGGTTATTTGTGGTAAATATTGGCTCATACTTTGATTTTGTCAATAAATGTTTTCTGATCGAACCCAGTCATTCTTATTTGCATATTTGCCTACCATATTTTGGATTCAACTCCAAAAGCTTAGTGTTAATCTGTTTGTTAATAAGCAGCCTTCGTCATGACTGACTGACTTCGTCATCGGTTGGAAATTGGAGGGAGCGTGGGCTATAATGGCAGAGAGAAAGGAGGATCAGGGCAAAACTGGGAGGCAAGGTCAAATCAGTATCTTAGATGCCTATATACAAATGCGAGAAGTATGGGTAATAAGCAGGAAGAACTGGAAGTGCTAATAAATAAGTACAATTATGACATTGTTGGCATCATAGAAACTTGGTGGGATAATACACATGATTGGAATGTTTGTATAGAAGGGAACAGCTTGCTCAGGAAGGATAGAGAGGGAAAAAAGGGAGGAGGTGTTGCCTTATATATTAAAAATGAACACACTTGGAGTGAGGTGGAGATGGACATAGGAGACAGAAGTGTTGAGAGTCTCTGGGTTAGGCTAAAAGGGATTAAAAACAAGGGTGATGTCATGCTTGGAGACTACTACAGGTCACCTACCCAGGTGGAAAAAGTGGATGAGGCTTTTTTTAAACAACTAACAATATCATCCAAAGCCCAAGATTTGGTGGTGATGGGGGACTTCAACTATCCAGATATATGTTGGATCCAGTAAGTCCTTGGAGACTACTTTTTAATTTCAGAAGATTGAAAAAGCTACCGGGGGGAAGCTGTTCTAGATTTGATCCTAACAAATAGGGAGGAACTGGTTGAGAATTTGAAAGTGGAAGGCAGCTTGGGTGAAAGTGATCATGAAATCATAGAGTTCAGAATTCTAAGGAAGGGTAGAAGGGAGAACAGCAAAATAGAGACAGTGGATTTCAGGAAGGCTGATTTTGGTAAGCTCAGAGAGCTGATAGGCAGGGCTCGCCAAACCACGACGAGCCCTGCTCACCAGCCGTGCTGTCCGGCAATCTGTGCATGCGCAGATCGTCCAAACCTGGCTCTTCCAGGTTACAATCTAATCGC